ATTGAATCTTTTTCAAAAGTCGCCCGTAAGGAGCAATCTTATTTGCAAAGCACACGCATGATTTGTTCCTGATTTTGCACAGCAATGGCTTATCCGGATCTCCTTCTGATCTGGCCGAACCTCAAATGCGACGGTGGCATGGACGTGGCAAATGCAAAATTGTGATTCTCCGATGCCTCGAGCTATTCAATGACCATTCGGTAAACATCCGTGTCACAAGTCTACGCTGACATCGACATACACCGGATACTGAGGCTCATCCAGCACTTCGACACCGATTCCGCCCGCCCAGTGGTGGTCATTCGGTTCCGGCTCCGCGGCACTATCTTCGCTCGTCCCATCCTGGGTACTGCAGGGCACGAGCCTGCGGGAGTCGCATTTGTACTCTGCTCATCGATAACGACGCAAAAATAAACAGCCACAGCCATACGAGCGGGCCTCACACCAGTAATATCAAGAGGCAGCCTCGGTCTGATGTGGGAGAGGCTACCTTGCGATATTGGTGTCGCGGGCCGGGTGATCCGGGGCAGCGGGCGGCTCACACGCAGTCGTGATCAGAGGGCAGCTCCCACGTGGTCCGACTCTCCGAGTGTCCTCCCATCAGATAACAGGGTCTCCTGGAGCGTGCTGATTGGTGTCGCGGGCCGGGTGACCCGGGGCAGTGGGCGGCTCACACGCGGTCGTGGTCAGAGGGCAGCTCCCACGCGGTCCGACTCTCCGAGTGTACTCCCCCCAGACGACAGGGTCTCCTGGAGCGTGCTGATTGGATGTGGGTGAGGGGGGGGGGCAGCCAATGTCGAGCGCCAGGGCCGGAGAATCCGTACCACAGCCAAGGAATGTTGCATGCCGCTCTGGGTGCGTCGCTCTGAGTCCCTCTGCGGAAGCCATCATACAGCGCTGGCCTCGTAAAAGGGCGGTCTTTTTGTGCATATTAAGCCGTCCTAAGCATAACATTGCCACTGCATGTAGCCTTATCAGATCTTGTACACCCTGTCCGGGCAATTACGTTGAGATGTATTTCAGCAGAGTGTCAGCATGTTCAGAGCTTAGCGTCAAGCAGCTTGACTGTTGTCATGCACCAAACTAGGCCTTATATTATTGTTTGTCTTTGGTTGCCCCGGAAACGGCTCCAGTTTGAATCGGAGTGCGACGTAATCGCATTTATTTTGTATTGGTCAGTCTGTTTAGGTGGTGACATTTGTTAGGGAAGGACCGACGGGAGATGGGCTAATGAATAGAGACGCCACACCAGATGGCACGACCGAGCTCTCCAGTCGGCCAGAGTTGTTTCCCTCCAGCAGCCCTATTCCGGGAGGTGTCCGCTTTGTTCCTACTCGAGGCGAGGACGAAGGAACCCCAGAATCTCTGGAACTGCTGGACTGATTTTGAAAAAGCAGCATTTTTTCGATGAAAACTTCAACTATAACTGCCTGGGACGGAGATAAAAACATCCGATATGAACTTTCCAGTTATAAATCCACATCTCAATGAACAACCAAAAAGAAATGTTTCAACAGGTTCTGATAGCGACGCGGGGGGGGGGGCAAATAAAGTTAAGTTATTCCATATCCAACTCATTTGTCCCGTTGAATCGTGTAACGCAACCAGCATACATTAATAGATAGTTTTTTGACTATGTACAGCTTGTGGCGCAATTTCAAATGAAAAATTCATGGGATATCCTGGTCATACAAATCAGGGTGAAAACACAGTTATAAAAACAGGTTTTCAATTGCTTTCGTACGGAGCAAAACCGCTGGTGCTTTGCCTCGTTATTAGGAATGCCGGTATGCGCTAAAACTTTGACTATGACGAAGTCAGGATGTTTATTGTGGTGGTCAGAAGGAAAGTTATGGAGCATTATAGAGAGCTCACGGCCACAGAGCTGCTTTGCGCCGTAAACGAAAGTATGGCGCCCGTATAGTATACAAGGCCGGATGCCATAGGCCTTTCCAGCTTTCGAAGGAGAGTGATAGGAATGCATGATTGGAGCGTGGCCCAATGCCGCGGCCGTCACCTGGCGAACCCCGACTGGCGACCACGGTCGTCGTGTAGTACAGCTTCAACAGTTCGTCGTCCCTTGACATAAGCAGCGATGGCAATAAAATATTCGTTATTTCGAAGAAACGACGTTCGGAGCCGTGCTCCTGGTCCGATTTCTTTGGAAAAGTCGACCACTACAGCATTCTTTTCGCTCTGGAGCTCACCGGACAAAAAGTGATAGTTCCAAGCCTCCGAACCATTTTTGTGTGGTACAGCCAAGTACAAGTTACACCGCAAAATTGTACTTTAAACCGTCCTGCTCCGAAATGCACTCTAGCCCGTCCTGATAGCTCAGTTGGTTGGAGCGCCTGTCTTCTGATTCACCCGCCTGAGGCGGAGTGGGCTTAGGTCGCTTCAGGCTTTCGCTTTTCGCCCCTGACTGGGCCGCGCCGCGTTGACGGTGAGGTAACGTTAGAGACCAGGGTGGCCCGTGCCCAGCCATGCAGCAACATTGCGCTGCAAAATTCTGTCGTTGACCCAGAATTTTACGATCGGATGATGGATCCTGGGCTCACGCAGCAATCGGTGCGTAGCGTTTGCGTTAACCACGGAAACGCATCCAATCAGAAAATTTGGACCATGTCTCAAAAATAACAATGACTGCCCCCACCATAATGCATTAAGATTCAGCTCACACCGAGGCTACTAAGAAAACACTGATCCGCAGTTGTGTGAATGTTATGGTGCTAAAATATCCCTTCTGTTCTGTGCGAAATGATGCCCTGAGGGCACACTCCTAATTATGCCGTAAAATGTCGGTTTAACAATAGCACGGCATTAGGTTTACAAAAAAATAGAAAGATGGAACAAACATACTGTCGCCGTGTGAAAGTACCGTTTATACCCAGGTAAAAGCTGACCCACGTTTTACTCAACAGTGACAAATGTACCTCCCTGCGGGACATTGGAATCACCATTTAACGGCAAAATGTGATGAAAAGCAGTAACACTCGCCAGAACGGTCATTATGTCATAATCACTGTCATACGGTTAATGACGGTCATAATGACTGTCAACAGCACCTCGGAGTGCTACATCGCTACTGCTCTGGCATCCTCGTGGGCGGCCCTGCGTCCACTTCACAGCATTGATCGGAACCAGCGATGCCTTCAGCAAGACGGGATGATGTCGCTTACGTCACGGGCTTCACTGGATTGGTTGGAGGAGCATTTCCCTGAAATGTATGCCAGCTGAAGACTGGTGTGCGGCGGCTTCGCACCCGCCTGACCTGTTGCCACCGTGGTGTGCCGTGGCTTTGCACTTGCTTGGCCCGTCGCCACTGGACCTCGTACTGTGAGGTAGCCTCAAGAGCCACGTACACGTAGACAAGCCAGCACACCATTACGAGCTTGAGACCGCATCCAGCCTTAAGATGGGAAGCATCCGCCGTCGACAGGATCGCTAGGACAACGGCACCACCAACGGCAGGCTCAGCTGTCACGCATGCTGAACCGCCAGGGGGCCATATGGAGCGCCGTTGACGGTAAACACCTTCGGCGGACGTGGAATCTCTGACTACCAATGTCATTGCTCGCGTTTTATCATTGCGTTGGCAGTCAAAGGCCGCTACAGTCACGATTGCGCGACAAGGAACTCGCCATTGTCTAGGAAAACGCCAGTCAACTTTTTGCTGTTCTTCGAAAGGGTGCCACATATTGCAGTCCATTTTGTGTCCTCCAGTTCGGTTGCCTCATGAAAAGCTTCTCATTGTTTGCGAACCGCCCTAGCATGTGGAGAGTTCGCATGATAAAATCGCTAGGTACCTACAGAATGCAACTTGATACAAAATGACCATGACATTACTGGTGATGTGCTCAGGTATCTGGTGCACTAGAGCTTCAGAAAAACATTGGTGCATTAGGTGTTCCCTCGCATCAAGAGCTTCAATTGAGCATGAGGGGGGGGGGTCTCAAACCCTAAAAAAATACATAAAGTAAGGCGCTCTGGGGTCGCATAGTACGGCGACGGCCAAGACCGCTGCACGTGCGATCAGACGAGACGGACGCGCCGGGCCTTACGCAATGCAGTGACAATCTGCATATGGGCCGGAGGGGGTCTTCCGCGTCTGCCAGCGGCGGCACTTTCACCGATGACATACGGAGGGTAATGTGACGGTTCGGGCATGGCATGCACTGGGAAGATATGCATCTCCAGAGACCAGTCCCACATATGCACAGCTGAGTGGGGCATAGACGCGTCCGCTTTATGCTTCGCGTAGGCCCTCATCGCCAAGGGCAACGAGCTGCGCCGTCCTGCAGCATGCTGGTGGTTACTCTGCTCACATCTGCTGGTTTGCTCCTGCAGTTTTGAAACGCGCAAGGCCGGGCGACCGTCAGTTGTGAGAGACGCACGCGTGTGTAATAGGTTAATGGAGTCTGCATGAGGTTAATGGGGTCTGTATTAGCGCCTCAAGTGGCATTCAGGAATATGGGCTTGCGCTGACCACGAACAGATCTTCATTGATCATGGGTCATGGATGGGGCCCATGATAGTCGGGAATAGATTCCCACCGATGGGAAGCGAATCCCCAGTGAAAGTAAGGAAGGGCGTATTGTCCTATCTAGTGTCGGGGCTCCACCGCCCGCCACCTCCCAACAACTTTGAAATGAAATGGGACAAAACGGAAAGAAATTGGTTGGTTGGCGTATTTTGAGGTCAGTTTTGCCATTTTTTTTCACAGCTCGTCCCCCTCTCTAACCTATTTTACGAAACTATGCTCCTGATGAGAATCATAACCGGGCTTATGAAGTGCCAATTAATACTATTAAGGGGCGGCCGCCCGCTGACGAAGAGGACCCATACTGATCAGAAGCGAGTACCTGATGATCAGGGGCAGATTCGTGAGACCAAGAACAGATCCCCACCAGCGGGAGCGGTCTCTATAATAGTGAGCAGCTTAACCCGTTCCTCTGCTGCAGCGTACCACCGAGACCGACACTGTTTCGCCGCCGTTGCAG